GAAAGTTACCGGCTGTAGGGGTATCTCAGGGTCCATATCCATATCCAGAGGTGCCTTTCAGATATTGAAGTACTAGCTTGGCAGCGTTCCAGTGATGTAGGAGTGGTTTATCAAGGTGCCTGAATAATTGGTTCACGGCGAATGTTATATCTGGTCGCGTACCATAGGCTAAGCATCGAAGGGCGCCGATGAGTTCTCTACAGGGCATATTTTCGGCGGACCTGATAAGTTATTGTTCTCAGATATTAAAGTATCTTAAAGTTTTTAAAGTTTTAAGTGAAAAGTTGTGATTTATTTGATTCGAGTCCCTGCTTTTATATGCATTGGACTCGTAATCCTTGAGCCATTAAAAAACACCTCTTAAGGTGAAAAAGGTTCTCACTTGATCTATGATCCAATCCAAAGGCAGTGTCGCCACGTCTTCAACTGATCGTGGCTTCTATTGTAATCTTTGGCCCTATACGTTTAGATTGTACTCCTCCGATATTTAGGGATGCCCTTATGCCCATCAGAGATTTTCTATAATAATGCTTCCGTACTCCCGGCACTTCGGCTCCGAGATTAATTTCCATCTTTAATATTTCTGTGTCCCTTTCTGAGTTTAGATTCTCCCCTTGGTTGATGCTGAGATAAACCTTGTTGAGCCTCCGGTGTTGGACCGTAGTTTTATGCTTGGTAAACAATCCTGGTTTACTGCGATCGATATTTGGGTCCGGCACAAAGGCAGGCACAAAGGCAATTGCAATCATGGACAGAATGAGGGCTGTGAACCGCCTTATGGGTAGATAAAAAAATGCTTTAGTGAGTTAATTAAATTTTTTTATTAAATGTATTGGTCTATAGCTCATGCCAATTGTAATAATAAAAACAGTACGACGGCTATCAATAACCCAATGGGTAGATATTAATGCTCTAGGAATTTAGGTAAAAACCATGATTTCAAACTAAGTGAGAGTGAAGACATGTGACGAATTATAACTCATGCCATGGCTTCGCACACGTTTAAGTTCATACAACATAATGTCACACTACCAACTCACTTTACAAGCGCTAAGTGTCTATATAAATATACTTTAGCACCTCGTATGATGGAACAGATGAAGACAAACCTGGGAAACTCTCCGCCCTATATGTAACTGTAAGATATACCTGTACTCACTCAAAATCAGTATCATGATAGTTTTGGCTGCATGAGAGACCTATGTGTCTACCATTCAATTGTACGACACTCCCGGCACACAAACCAGGTATGCACAATTTGGTACCTTTTTTCACTGCATTCTGCCTTGAGCGTCTTTTCCGTGTATTCTCCAATATCTACATATTCCAACATGATATAGCTTGATATGTTTGAAGCCGTGCTCGATAACCGCTCTGCCTGCATTTTTCTTTTTAAAAGTCAATGTAGAGTTTGAGAGTGACTGATAAGATACTACCAATAGAGACAATATGCACCTTTCAAGTGTAAAACTCTTTGCTAGGTAAAAGTCTTATGGTCGCGGGATTCGCGTTGATTCTTTTTTTTATGTCCTGTGTTTTTTGACTAGACACAGATTCTACTTGAGTTGTTCTCTCATACGCAGGGTCCAGCATCATCGACGGGTTCTGTCACTATTTTATTTTTGTTGACTCTATCGTCAGGAATTTTGGACCTGGACCTAAAGCTCAGTATTCGATAGTCCTGTGGTTTTGGAATTTGAAATGCCTCTTCTGACGATCTAGTATCAAATTCTACACGAATGTCGTTTTCACCTTAGCTAAAGGCTACCTTTAAGCGTATAGATTATCAAACTAGCGGGTGAGAGGGACTTTTTTTAAAAAGCCAAAAGCTGAGTGAAATGAATTTAGTTGAACCATCTCGTTGAAAACACTATTCAAGTACATGATTTATCGATGTATTTTTTTCTTCATCGGATAGCCATCTCATGGAGAGCAGATATTATGTCACCAGTATGGTATTGATATTTTGGAAGACCAGACGGTCTAGTGATTCCTCGCCTCGATCTTTCATTTGTATATAATACGAGCAAAACTTGTTCAATCAGAGATGTAATCCACTAAATAAGGATTTATCTTTTCATAGTTTTATTTGGCTCTCCAAGCTTAAAAGTTACCAAATTCTCGTATGAATGACTACTGCTAATCGTAGAAGCTTCTCAACGATGTGTGGAAGGTAGAATGGACAGATCATTGTGGGCATGCGAGATAAAAGCGAAATGGATTTAATATCATATACAGTCTTCAATCGGTGCGACGTATTGAAGGTTGGGGGGCTACATAAGAAACCCTATTAACATATAGGAAGACCGCTCATGGGTGTCGGGCCGGTACTGGATGTAGCGGCTGTAGTCCAAGGGGGGGACGAGTATATAAAACCACATCCTTGAGTAAAACGGTACTAATATAGAAATGCAGGATGAACTGGGTGGCTGTGGGTGGGTAGTGTCGAGTAGTACAGGATGATGACAGTGACCACTGTCTTCGTCCTTTTATACGATACAACTTTAGAGTTGTATGTATAAAAGGACTTGGAGGAGTATAGATCTACAGCATAAAAATAAATATTGCCGTTACGTCACAACAAGAGTTGTGACGTAACAGCGCATTACTTTATGCTGCCGATCTAACTCCTCCCAGTTCCATAATACTATTGGAAGGAACACTCCTTCTCGAATAATATTTGTTCCTATCAACACTGAAAGTCCGCAACCGTTTTACGGCTCTCCTAACAAGCAACTGTTAAAGCGACGATCGGCGGCGGTAGACGTGATCACTGATCGATAGCTCTTTAGTGACGCGATGTCGACACTCATAATGCCGGCAATCAAGTCATCTGGCACGCGCAAGCTGCATACACTCTGAGCAAAGCCACGGCGGAAGGCGTGCCAGTGTACATAGCGTTGTGCGGCTTCAAGGGCTAGGCCCGCTCTGACGAAGTACGAGCGTGCGACCTTAATACTTTCGTCGTTAGACAGGTTATTGAGCACCATGGCTGGACTAGGAGGACAGCCGTCACGCGTTTCAACGGCGTCAATGAGGTGGTGCTGAAGGAAGGGAAAGGTCCGGGGATGGATTGGTCTGGAGATGACCTTCGATTTGGAGGAACGGTCCTCACGCTTCTTCTTGCCGAGGTTGATAATGAGCGTGACTGGAAGGTTCGAACTCGAAGGATTCGAGCCCGAACGTCTTGTTGGTGTAGCGACGTGCCCCTAGGAGCCAAAATGCGACCAGGAGAGCACGCCATTGAGCATCAAGGCCTGTGGCATCAGGGAGAGCACTGATCCAAGGAGCGATGATCTTAGGCTGATCAGGTAACAGCAGGATGACGATTATTCCACAAACTGACGTAACCCTGAATGGCATGTCGCCAAGCGCTATCAGAGATGGGAGTGAGGCCAAATGAGAGACACGCACTGGTACCAGCCGCTCTGATCTTGCGCACCTGATCTGGAGATACCCCCTCATAAAAACAGTGAATCAGAAAGGATTGCAGTTGATCAGTGGTGGGGACAGACATCGTGATGTCATGCTGGGCCGCGAAGTCAGACCATATTGCCAACGCAATCTAGCAGTTGGTTTGAGTCCCAGGAGTTAATCCCCCATTGCGTAATTGTTGTTCTACAAGAGAGGCTTCAACGGAGGCATTGCGCTGCTGCCTGTGGGCTCGTTTAGACCGGCCGCGTAGAGCTGAGTAGGGGGGGGGGGGTTGAGTCCTAGTTCCTTGGCGACCGCCTCTGGGTAGTGGACTGCTCCAGCCTCTAGTACCTCGAACCTCTTCTGATGTCGGACGATGTGTGGCCACCAGAGGGCCTTCGTCCATACCGGTACCACTATCACGGCTCGTTGTAGCCGTTGGTCGAGTTGCTCCAGGAGCGGTCCCAGCATGGTCTCCGGGGGTGCCACTAGTTCGAGGGATTGATCCCAACGATTGTGGTAGGGATTGGCCAGGTGGATTTGTCCCTGGTGGCTCTTCCCTAAGTAATAGCTGTCGGGACAGGGACGTGCTGAGGGATCCAGATGGATATTCCATTTCTGGAACAGGCGCAGAATGGTCTCCAATCGGATCGTCCAGTGGTAGATCAGGAGCCGTCCCAAGCGTGATAAGTCGTCGGCCGCGAGGTTGAGCTTGCCGGGCATGTAGCCCAGGGCTACTGGTCAAAGGATGTTCTGCTGGTGGCAGAACCAAACGAGTCGCCGTAGCTGGGCGTTCATCAGTTGCGATTGGCTTCGACGTTTGCGCAGGGCGTGTAGCGAAGTGCTGCTGTCCGTTAGCCACAGAGTGGGAGCTCTGCCGATTTGATGCTTTCTGTGAAAGTATTCGTAGGCTAACACGAGTGCTTTGAGCTCGAGGACTGCAATCGGCCACCGTTGCTCTGTGAGGCACCAAGTCCCGGCAAATGTCAGCGTTGTTTAATGCCAGTACAGTGTGGCTCCGTAGCCAATCTTTGATGAGTCCGACGTGATCGTTGCCTGGTGGCTGGGAAGCCAGATGCTCCTGGTCTGGAATATTGATATGAGCGTGGCCATACGCTCTATCTTCTTGAACGTAGCTCCTGACAGGCGAACTTTGGAGCTCCGTGTCCATGGGGTCGTCTGCTGTAGGTCTGCGATAAACGGGCGTAGCGCCAAGACGGAGAATCCGCCCCACTGCAGGCATCCGCTATACGACTGCCACAAGTGTGTTTTTATTCGGCGATGATTGCGCAGACCCGATGAGGCTATCGTGGAACCCAGGTTCAATAGTTTGGCATTGAATGCAGGAGTCATCTCGATCGTGTTCATGACCAGATCGATAATGACTCCCAAGTGTTGTAGACGAGTGACTGGATGATCCCAGTACCCTTTCCCGGGCGCCAACTCCAATCCCAGTTCGGCTAAAAGCTGGTCGATGAGTCACTTGTGCTTCATGATCCATTTCGGGGGTCCTCGAAGCAAGAAGTCGTCTACATACAGGATGATCCGAATGCCCTTGCTTCTGGTAATTCTCCTGAAGACATCCATCAGTAGATGAAACCACGCCGGTGAGAAGGTTGCCCCATGGGAAGGGCCATGAAACACCACAGGCGTCCCAGGTGGTCTCTGAATTGCCAAAGCTTGGGATCGGCTACAGCTATTGAATAGAAGCCGTCCTTTATGTCGGCGGACATAGCTGCATCGCCCGGACGAGCAGTCTGCGCTAGCTTCTCCAATCCTTCCGCTCTGAAAGTCATCTCTTGGCGCGGTTGTTTATCTCGGTCGGGCTTAGGATCAACATCGCTCGTAAACCGTCCGCCTTGAGTATAATGAAGGCCGTATAAACAAGGTATTCCTCCGAGTCCAGGCATGGTCGGATAACCCCTGCCTTGTGAAGTCTGTCAAGCTCCACTTGACTCATCACCTCTGTCACGTCGGAATTGTTGATCCATCGTCCCTTCTTCGATGGTGGCGGAGGCCCTTGTGGCCCCCAGATTGGTCGCACGCCGTACTTTATTGCTTGCAGGATTTCCTTCGATGCCCCGTAAGCCATCCGTATCGGCAGCGCTTTACGAACCTTGAGATATAAAGCAGTGTTCGGACTAGTCATCTGCCTTGACATTGAATTTGCCTCGGGTAAGGGCTAACTCGTGCTGCTTCTTCTTGGTGGCCTTGACGTACTTAGTGATAGTCGATGTGTTATTGTATGTAGGACGAACTTGCTGTTCAACTAGTGCTGCAAAGGTAGATCCTCTCTTCACGCGTAACTGCTTGAGCTCAATTGTACGGCCGAGGTTTTCAATCAGTTCGAGTATCACTCCTCGGTAAGCTTGCTCCCGATGAGCGGGAGAAAGTCCACCAAGATCGATTTTCTTGAGAATGAAGGCCAGATAATTGGCCCAAGTTAAGATATCGAGTAGTTTCTTCTGAACCACTAGTTTCTGCGACTCGTACCACGAAAGTATTTGTACCGGAGAACTAGTGAGTCCTTTAGGAAATCTGACTTCTTGGATAAATAGAGAATAAGCCACTTCTCTTGCTACCCTTGTGCTTCACTCTGTGTTTGATGCAGCAACGCAATCTTGAACAGAGGCGAGATGGTGAGCGGTAGAGACTCCAGTGATTTGTGAGCGGAGTCCGTACAGAGGGTTGGGACCTACCCCAGGGACAACGTATCCTCTCTGCTCGAATTCACGGAGGATGGTCAATGAAGCTAAGCGGTTATCAATCTTTGGAATAGGCTGAGGGCCGTCAACGTCCATAACGAGGTTTTGGTGTTGGTATTAAGTTTGGAGAGCCTACGCTTCAGCAATTGCTTAGCAATTGTTGAAGGAAGTATTTCACTAGTGTAGCGAAATACAGGATGATATATTTCATTATTTGTCGTAGATCTGGAATCCTTTATTATGATAGCCAACTTTACTCGTACCTTGATTGCACACGATGCCATTCTCGTCAGCACTGTCCAATTGACTAAAATGCGGCTTATCTTACTTGTACGAAGGAATGGCAAGTAAAATAGGTTTATTTATGCAATATGGTATACTACTTTATCGGCTACCAATATGTGCTTATGCACTCTTCAAAAAGTCGCAGCATATTGACCTACTAAAGTGCGATTTGAATACTTAGAAATCAGATAATTCCAGCTAATACCAGTTAACTGATTTACAAATCTGAAATGTGCGATGTGACAGTATCACATGTCGCGGTATCCTTGACATGCAACCACAAGACAATCAAAATTGCTAGTGTAAAAATAGAAAATTAACGGAAAACTCATCCTCAGAAATACTTGTTTTTGGAAGCATTACCTTCAGCACGCCCTGGAGTGAGTAATAAGTTCGGCGATTTTTAATAGGGAAAATATTATTTATTTCAATTTGGATAAATTTTAATATGTATACCTACACATCAGGCTTCATATTCGTTAGAGATTTTCTGGGGAAATTGAAGGGAAGTTAAGATTGTCGAACTGCCACGAGAAGCTCGGGGCGAGTGATACAACGATGGAAGACATACGGTGCGTTAGTTCACGACGATGGATACAGAATACCTCAGCCATTGGGTGAGAACTAAAACCTATGTGCCATTGCGTGGAATGAAGCTGGCTCACACTCGTAGTGATAGTATGGGCTGAGTCAGTCTGAGATATTTTGAACGATATTTATTATTGTGTCTATATACGCATCGAAAAAATTAAATAGCGATAGCATTAGAATCGATTAGTTCGTAGACCGCAGGAATTGCAGACATGGGCAGTACCTTGTGAACATAAGTTTGGGCCAAGCAAACGAATCTGCTTTCAAATTCTGAAACTTTGACTATGAAAAATGGCTGGCCTCATGTCAAATATAACAGGGACGATGACTATTGGCGACGAGAAACTGTTATCTGCTATGACAACGCCACATTCGATATAGGGGTATGGTGGGTAAAACTGGTAACATAGCGTCATCAATGTTGGGGCGGATGGAGGGCTGACTATTAAAGGGACGATGACTATTGGCGACGAAAAACTGTTATCTGCTATGACAACGCCACATTTGATACAGGGGTATGGTAGGTAAAACTGGTAACATGGAGTCATCAATGTTGGGGCGGATGGAGGGCTATCTATCAATATTTATACAGGCACGCAACCCGGAATAGAATATGTGACGTTAGTATACTAATTATGAATGTAATAATGACAAGTGGTGTGGGTAGCGCTAAGACTGGGCTATAGATGGGTTTAGTGTCATGGTATGCGCGATATCAATCCTACATGGATAGATATAAGTTATAACAATTTTACTACTGTCGGAGAAATAGAAAGGGAAAATTAGAGAACACATTTTACCTGCAACGATCTTAATTGTGCCCGATCCGCGATCACACCATCATGTTGTTGTGTTGTACTAACCAAAAATCTTCTTATACTTATAAGATATGAGAGGTGAAGCAGCTTCATACAGGGATAATATTATTTATTTCAAAAAAAAAAGAGGATAAGTTACAATGTATGTATGTCACAATGTATGAAAATATGGTATGGCTCTCATAACCGTTGTAGTGGTTCGAGAAAGATCGATGGGAAGATGTGGGCGACGAAGTATGATCTCTACCATAGGAATACGATGTAATCCGATATTCCAGGCACTTGAGCCATCTACGTTATTAGCATCTTATTCACGTCCCGATATTTTCTGTATATCGACCAAACAAATCATAAAAGGTTCAATATAAAACCTTAGGCACAGTCGTATTGGAATCATGTTGATTATGTTCCCAATCTCAAACTCGACTATTTTCTTGGTATTATTCCATCGCTTACGTCTCTCTGTTAGAGCGATATTCTTCCTCTCATAAACAAGAAAAGACAACTACGTCTCTGGCACTACACATTTTCTCTAACTATGGAAAGTTATAGGCATCTTTGTGAAATTCCTGCCCTATTCTACCATAACGATCCTTAGAACAGTAAGCAGATGTCGTACCGCGTATTGTACACTTATGTCTGTACCCAATTATTGGAGGACAGCAACATGAAGTGTAGCTCATATAACAAACCTACATATCTTTATACGCATAATCTCGGTATCACCATGGATATGTTTGAGGCCTATTTAATATATTCAATTTGCAACATGTATGAGAAGCAAGTATTAATTGTGTCGTCACCGCATTTCTTGTAAACTCGCTCTCAGAACACGCAATAGCTGGCCAGTCGATATATGCGAATATATATTATATGCACTCAGCCACTGTTTGTACGAAACCAACTCAGTCTGTCTGTCAGAGGATATTACACATCTTGATGCAACATTTGAACCACTGTCTTGTATATATGTATTAAATTGACAGAAATCTAGTTTACCAAGGTCTACCATATAGTCGTCCTACTCTATGATAAAATAAACTGTTATCTTATAGATTTCTACTATATCAGGAATCCGTTATCGTTATTTCCTATCATCTCTATATGAATATATCCTAACGTATCGGTTAGAGTTAATCCAATCTATAAAGATCTTGGTGCGAGAGGTAATGTACATTGCAATTCAACTTAGCCAAATATTAATTATATCATTCACGTGAAAACTCGGTAGGCCTGCATGTTGTAAATAGTAGATCAGACGAATATTTTTGAGGTCAATTGTAACCTTGAATTCAACTGCGTCTGGGTATATAATATTTGCATGCGCAACAATATACAGCCAGATCACAGTTTGCTGCCTATATTTATGTATACATATCCCACACATAATTTTTTGTTGATTTATTGTTCTGGTGATTAAGTGACTTATTAAAAACCGCAGAGTTATCACAACTACGAGCAAACATCTGAAACGACTTATGGTTGAGAGTTATCAGTGTATGCTTTCTGAGGGCAGTGTGTGTGTGTGTATGTGTGTGGGTGGGGGGGGGGGGTGGCGACTAACTCAGGAAATTTAGAATTAATATTGGGAGTAGATGGTATTTCAATATTCAGGTGGAGGGCGCCCCCCTACCACTCGAGGGCTCCCCTCTGAGTCCTCCACCTGAGTGTCTATGGCCCCTATCAGAGATCCCGAGGGATCGTCCATACCGAGGATATTCCGAAGGAGTGCAGGAGGGTGTCCCCCCTTCCACCATGGTAGGTGTAGGTGGTAGGTCCCGGGGGACCGTAGCCTACATCCTCCCTACGGCTATAAACTTATGTGCCTGATCGTCTACAGGTGTATCGTAGCTAGACTAACCATTCCCCACAGATAATCTAAGAAGACGTTATTACCCAACCCTCATAAGGGCCAAATTTTAACTCACTCTAAGCTAGACATTTCTTGCTTCCACGAAATTGATATCTCCAGATTTAGAATCCGAATCTCAAATTGCAGGAAATTGTCCATATATTTTTGTTGTTCATATATTTTGTTGTTCATCTATTTTTCTTTGTTCATATATTTTGTTCATATATTTTTGATGTTCATGAAATTCACATCGATTACTTACAAGTTTTATTCTAATAACTAGTTTGTTCTCAATAATCATGATCCCAACCCCTGGCCCCGAGCCCGATCCCAATCCACCAAACACAATTACATCCATGCCCGAACTCCTCTCATGTCTAACAAAGTTTCCCTCTGAAGTGACAAAAATACCAGAAATAGTAAAAAATCTTCAACGACCTCAAGCAATTTTTAACAAACTATGCATCGTCACCCGCCGCTCCCCAACCACCTCCACCAATGTCTCGACTCATCTCGTTTCGAAACATAGTTCGATCTCAAGAAACTCACCCCGGACACAAACAACGGTCTCTTCAACTCTACGCCTCCTTCCCCACACAAATCCTGTCTCCAACGTATAAATGGCTCTAATACCGCCACAGTAGCACCCTATTTCAAGTCATCACCAATTGCCAAGCCCATTTCTACAATAAACCGTAGCCTACAGAACATCTCCGAACTCCACAATGTACCGATCATCAACATCCACCTCCTCGGTGCCGGCAACCCAACCATTGAAGTATTCGTTCGTGAATCCGATGCTTGGCTGGTATCTCAAGTGGCCGTCCAAACCCTCCGACAATAACGCTAACCCTAAACGTCTCACACTGATGCGTAGCAGACAACTAGCCTTCGATAGACTTCTCCGAATGATGACTACAGCGGCCGACCGTGGGGATCCCCCTATAGTTCTCAATAGTATATACTTTGCAAGGAACCATTGATAAGAACAACCTCAATAAATGCTTCATTCGGCGACTCGTAACAGCCGACCCCAGAAAATCGACGCCAACTCAGTACTCCAACTCCTTCGACTCCAGCGCAGTGCCTCGTCCCTCCCCCTACGGAGCAACAAATCCCTACTCTCTAAAATGAGGTTTCAGCTCTTAACCAACAGAAAAATGGGATAACATCTCGCCCCCACACCAGGAGTCGACCCAACTAACCCATACTCCCCTCAACAACCCTTTCCAATATCGAGAACGTTTATATAACAACCCCCTCCAATGAGATTAATTCTGGCCCACAAGAATCCTCCGACGTAGAAATGGCGACAGAGCCAACCACTCCAAGCCCCACAGAGTCAACCCTGAGCAGTACAACCATTACTCCCAAATCTCCAACGGCCGAAAGCATTGCGCAAGCACTATAAAGCAATTCTTCTCGCTCTATAACAGACAGAAAACATGTCTTACAACTGGTCCGCCAACAAGCTAAGGTTTGGCCCTCCCTGCTCTCTACCAATAAGCCATCCGTAAACTTCCACAAAATAGTAGACAGACAGACTGTAGAGCTCACAAGTAGAGATTCTACATTCCTATACCCCAACAGCCTCACCTGTCTCAACACACTGCCATCCATATCCTCTCACCGTGCCACAGCAGGGATAATCCTATCCATCTAAAGCCGTTTTAAGAAGACCTCTTCCCAAGCTAATATTCTAACTCAGGGCCAAGCTGGGGATGTACGTCCAGACTTAGATACGCCGCTCTCAACCTCCAACCATCTCCGTAACTTGTTTGCTCCCTCGAAATCTACCGCAGACGGCAACCCTCCACCACCCCCTACGGTTGACTCCTCCATCACACTAGACATCCTCCGACACATAAATCCGGAATGTTTGGTACACGTCATTACCAATTATTTAGCTCGCAAAGGAGCAGAGGCCCCGACGGTATCCATATTAACTTCCTTGAAGTATGCCTAGAGACCCACCCCGTATACCACAAAGATCATAGCCTTCGCGGAAAACCGAACCCCGACTCGCCATTTGTCCAACAGCACTGTACCTTGTTCAAACAAATAGTACACACTGAAGAATATCCCAACACGTAAAAATATATCCTAGTAGCCCCTATTCCAAAAAATTAGTAGCCAAAGTCAGTGAAATTTCGTCCCATCTCGCTACGACAGATTTTCCGCCAAGTTTTTGCACTCTGTATCCTCCCCACCTTCCATAGCCACCGTTGCTTTTGCTTTAATCGATCCCAGACAGGCTACAAACATAAATACTCAGCAGTTGGACACACTCTCACCCTTCATGAGCGTATAGCCCGCCGCATTCGGAATCAAGGCACTCAACGTCGTAACCAGCTTACTTTTCTAGATCTTAAGCAACTTACGACCGTGTTAATTACGTTAAGCTTACGCGACTTCTACAAGCCAGAAGCCTGCCCCCGCCAGTCATTACAATATGCAGATCCCTATATGAAAATCATAGTGCAAAAGTACTCTACCAAAACACCCTATGCACGGCATTTATCCGCCACAGGGACTGCCCCAGGGCTCCATCCTGATGCACCTCCTTTTCAATGTGTACGTTGACACCCTAGCCCGGGATCTAGAATCCATCTGCAGAAATGCATCACTCTTTTTAGCCAACGACACATGTCCACCTCAGGGACTGCCCCAGGGCTCTATCCTGACGCCCCTCCTTTTCAATGTGTACATTGACACCCTCGCCCGGGATCTAGAATCCATCTGCAGAAATGCATCACTCCTTCTAGCCGACGACATATGTCTATACCATGTAGACTCTTCGATTCTCCATCTAATACTGAATGCTTGCTATAGGTGGGCGTATACATTTAACATGAAGTTAAATCGAAGCAAGTGTGGATACATCCCTGGATGCTACACCGACCGTCCCCCGGACTCCGACCTTGGACCTATACCTATTGTTTCAACAGATAAATATCTCGGACTTCCAATGCACTAAGGTGTAATCACCTTTGGCCCGCTTCTAGAATCGCTGATCCAGAAGATAAAATCGGACATGCACACTGCGTCGCCTTTCGGCTTTAATGCTGGTATATTGCTCCACCCTTACACCAAACCAATTATTTATAACACATATACCAGCCCACAATCGTGTCCAGAAGAAGCTCTCATCGGCCTCCTTTGCCCCATGCACCCACACACAAACAATTTTCCTTTCTCACTCACCATGCATTCACCCTACCCTCCTCCGCTTCACCAGTCCTATTGACCCCTCCAACAACATACTTTTAATCTAATAATAGATAATTGCTGGTCGTCTCTGGCGCTCATACTTTCCCATCTACAATACTATATACCAATTATATCTCATAATACTATATACTAATTGTATCTCATCCTCTTCCGTTCACCTCTACTCTAAAGCTATAGGTGGGCGTATATACTTGACATAAAGTTAAATCGAAGCAAGTGTGGATACATCCCTGGATACTACACCGACCGTCCCCCGGACTCCGACCTTGGACCTATACCTATTGTTTCAACAGATAAATATCTCGGACTTCCAATGCTTTAAGGTGTAATCGCCTTAGACATATATCATCCCAAAGAGTATAGGAGTAACATACTTTGATTCCAAGGACGTCTGATAGATGTGAACGGACCTATATAGTGCTCATGTTTGGCAAGTTTGACCCAACTCTAAAATCTCTGTAACTTTTGAACCAATAGTCCGATTGAGATGAGATTAAGTATGTGTTTATTACTCGTCAATACGAACAATTTGATTTATTTAATGATTAATGGTATGCATTTTTTAAATATACATCTGGGTTAACCTCCATAGTGAAATCCCTGCCGGTCTTGAGGTTTATATGTGAACTGATTCTCTCCATGTTCTTGAACAGATTGTTCTTTTCTTAGGCGGCTATATATGAGATTTCATTATTTAAAAAACAAAAAACAAATAACAAAACAAAACAAAAACAAAATAACTTTGATACTGGGCCCTGGTGTCTATCCTACCCACACGCCCAATCGGGCGAACTTCGCCCGAACGGGCGTGTAACGGCAACTCAGATGGGCCGTATTTCGTTCTACGTACACGGTCATTTGAATAGCCAATCAATTTAAAGAAACAGTTTATTAGCGCGCCAAACTCACCCACCACTTGTCAATACCTCTAATATATCAAGAGATATACATAGGTATTCGTAGATGCATATTTGAGCACTGTATAGTAGGTTAGCGAGCCTTTGTTCTTGGTCTAAACATGCATAAAGTACCTAAAAACGATTCTGCAGCCGCCAAGCGAGTGGTGGGATCCACCGTGTATATATGGTGGCACCATATGGATAGCAGATATGCTATGAATTGATTTGGATCGCGATGGAAGGACATCTGGAGCGAAGCATCTGTTGTGAGTGCAAAGAGCTCTGCGTCGGCAAGAGGCAGGGTGAAGGTGCGGAAGACCACGTTGAGTGGTTATGGGTTCACAGATAGTGATGGATATGTATATAGTAAAGAGAAAGAACAGTCACCACAGCTCATAGCGTTGGCTCCTCCTCCTGAATTAGATGGTGATGATGCACCTATAGGAGCACTAATGCTGGTTTGCGGTCCTACTCGTGCAGCTTTAGCTAGACACCAAATTTAGTACAAAACAATGGACCACGCACACGATATAGCTCAGACCAAGTACGTGCGGGTGCATCTGACTAATACGGCGATGCTGTACCACAAGCTGTTGTACAGCATGTAAGTCCCCTATAATTGGGGACTCCCTTATAATTGGGAACTTTTCTTTCTGAGTTTCGTCAGAAGAATTGGTTGGGTCGTCTTGAGACGTGTCCCTTGTTTCACTTCTTGGCTTCGTAAATGCAAGCTTGAAGTTGAGGCAATAGTTGGCCTTCAGGCTCTGTCAGTGGGAGTAGTCTCTTTAATCGGAGTGGCTAGATCCTTATCTGAAGCATTGTCCTGTTGACTATTTTTGTCGGAGGCAAGCGCTTCGACTACAGTGCGGTTAAACGCATCGGCAGCGGCGGCGGTTGCTTCTGCGGCAGCGCTAGCGGCTTCTCTCTCCATCTTCTTTTCAGCTCTACGCTTCTTAGAACGAGTATTGTCTTTCTTGGTCATAATATTAACTTATGACTACTAGCTTGTTTCTTAAGGACTAGCTTAGACAAGAAAAAAATTGTGGTAGTTAATCTACCTTTACGCTTAAGTAGTCTAAGTAATTAATACCTTTGCTAACTTTAAAATGTGTAAGATTCGGTCTAATAAGGCGATATTAACGCCTTAGAGTAAATAAACGCGTAGGTAAATTCTAAGTATCGTGAAAATATCAAAGTAAATAAACGAAATGAGACTTTTAGTAAAGTTAGGTATGCCTCGTGAAAACAGCAATACTCTGAGGGATTGTGAGCCTGAGACATTGCCTATATATAATCCTCTCAGTACTGTTTCCGCCGAAGGGATTTTATTTAGTGTTTCGTTGTCGCTCTATTAAAAACTATGGTATGTTTCATTGGGGTGAATCTAAGAGACTCATAAAATCCTATCTGTAGAAGAATTTTTTTTTATCTTGATGTCCTTAGTTATTGTCCTAACCAATAACTTGCCACTTATCAAGAATTACCGACTTAGCCTTCATCAGACCGGCACATCTGGTTGGCTGATCGGAGGATCAACTAGGTAACATCAATAGTCCCTAGAAACCTATATTCGGTTGAGCCATCTCGCTACCGAAGTATTCAGATATAAATAAAGTTGGAAAGTAAATATAGTTCTATTAATAGAACTAGACCAACTCTTTTGTTTGTTATTTTACTGGGGCCTTTTAATGGTCTCGTTCAAATATCTGATATGTAAAATGAAAAAGGTATTAATTAATAAAACCATTAAAACCCATTTAGAAAACTTAAGTTTCTCGTACTATTAAGAGTACGTTTATAATTTACGTACTGCTTAAGAGTTAGTTTATAACATAGAGTCTAATGTGGAGGCCCGGCTTTACGAAACATACCATAGTTTCTAATAGAGCGACAACGAAACACTAAATAAAGCCCCTTCGGCGAAAACAGTACTGAGAGGATTTTATATAGGCAATGTCTCAGCCTCACAATCCCTCAGAGTATTGCTATTTTCACGAGGCAAACTAAACTTTACCAAAAGACTCATTTCGTTTATTTACTTCGAATTTCACAATATTTAGACTTAACCTACGCATTTAATTACTCTAAGGCGTTAATATCGCCTTGATAGACTGCATCTTGTACTGGCCTAGGGATGGAATAGCGCGTGATGCGCTCTCATACTTTTACGCCATGTTTCTTCCTGGTCATTTAGAGTAAATGTGCGCAATGACAAACGCAACAATCACCACGAGCAAAGACAGGCGGTACGCACATCTTTTAATACCAGGAGAGCTCCTCAAATGGTTCGGTGTGTGTGTACAGTTCTGTTTCATCGATTACGGCTCCCGGGCGGACTGTTGGCGGAAACAGTTTAATGCACGCGAGATACATTCCCCATATAATTTTGGCCGCTTCATGAAGCGTTGCCGATTCGATGCTATTTACCAACATCTCCAATTTGCGGAGACTACGACTGACACACTAAGACCAAACAATCAAGACCACCGCTGGTCTCCCGTGAAAGGGTTTGTAAACGCTATCAATGATCACAAGGATCACACAATAACCGCCAGAAAACCCATTTTGACCACAGATTCAATTAGTAACCTATATATTGCATTGGTTTTGTCTGATAGAAATATAAAGTATTTCATCAGCACTCACGGTACTACTAAGCCGGGTACTACCATCTCTCGTAAGTGAGTGAGAAATGACGGCAACACGGTTGCAGCTAAAGAAGTACGTTGCCAAACAGCCCCAGTTAGTAGAACAGTATTTTACATACAACGATATCGTCGATAGACATAATAGACACAGGCGAGATACACTCAATCTTGAGTTAGAACCTGGCACAAACGCGGTGGTACTTCTTTGCTGGCTATGTGTATTGTTGCCTGGCACAAACGCGTTGGTACTTCTTTGCTGGCTTTGTGCATTGCATTGTTGATGCTTTTCTTCTTGTCAAAGGGACTCGCACACCAACGGAGAAACAGGTGGATCAACGAAACTAGTATATGATGCTATCAAAAGAATTAACACGTTTAGTTACAGCCGCAATTTCAATCCGTCCAGAAGTAACTACTTATGGGGTAGGCGCACATGCAACTCCCATCAAAGAAATGAAACGAGAAAGGAGAAAGAATAAGTACGGCAAGCACAGGGGTTGTTTGACGAAGAAATGTTGTACTGGAGATGAATGTAGTACGTGTGATTTGGGTGTACACAAGGTCTGCTTCATGGCACACCTCCGGGAATCACATACCCGCGATGAGGATTGATCTACACTTACACATCATGCATAAATGTGTGCATGCATGCACAATTATAATAATAAAATAAGTTATTGTTTCAATAAATTCAAAAAAAACACAAATTTTAAAATTCTTGGTGATTGATTGGAGTTGACTAATTTACTTTGGTTTAATTGGCTTAAAATACGTCACGTTTTTTCCAAAACAAATTGTATGGATAAACATCAATATTCGATTTCGCCCAATAGCTAAATATAGCGCCCAATAGGGCGGGAGGGGCGGTAGGATAGACACTCGGGTCTACTAAAAATATTTAGAGGCCTACTGTGTAGCCAGATTAGCCTTGGTACATATTTATTTTAATTTTAGTCTACTCTCTCTCTCGCTCGCTCTCTCTCTCTCTCTCTACTACAACTACTAACTAAATACTATAATAGAGAGAGAGTTAGAGAGTAAAGTTGTAGGTCATTTGATCAGGGCATATTGTGGCCCTGTCCTAGATCATTTAAATTAGAACATAATATGGCCCTGTCCTGGATATTTTCTTTCAGGACACAATGTGGCCTTGGCCAAATACCTGGCCAAATGTAAAGTTTACGACTCGTTGGCCACCCCTCGCGTCTCGCGTCCAGACTAAAAAGTAAATATTATATGAATACCACGCGCATCTAATGCCATCCAAAGATATCATTCTACTGCCTTCACATACTCGTCAGATTTAACTATAGGTAAGAACAGTATATTCATAAGTTCATGTCCGGAATCTTCTATTATGTATGTACACTACATAATGACATATGTAATATATGACTTCTCATAGTCCGGAAGTGCCTGCGAATATGTGCACATTGACAGCAACCTTTTTATTCCATGGCAAGGCGCTATGCCACCTTTATTGTATACACAGTGCGTGTGTGCTGTTATGATAGAAGGTCAAAGATTTCGTAGGCTAGACCGACTCAATTTCTTGTTCACTACTGAACGGATCTGAAAGCAAACTCGAATAGCAGGATCGCTCACAGACCCTATGAAAAGTCATTAACTTGATGGTATATTCAAGATAGCTGGCCTTTCTTCTCATTTCGTGGTCTTCATATTTCTTTCGAATGCAGCTCATCATGTCTTTCATCGTAGCCGCTTTCCGTCCCGCCGCTCGCAGCATGGCTGCTGCGTACATGACCCGCACTGGGGCTGTGTTTGCTACTCAGAAGACTGGCCTAGTATCTACTCGAGGGTATGCTGCCGCCGGCTTAACTCGCGAGGACGCGGAAAAGAGGGTGTTCCATGTGCTGCAAAACTTCGACAAAGTAGACGCTTCCAAGGTATGATTACGATTACTGTATACTGATTGTTTCTGTTCGATGCCCCGTGGGCTCATACATGGGATGTGGTTGTTTACACCTCGTAGAACATTGAATGTATATGGCAGCATTTTGTTCTCAACGTTAGTCGAGGCTCTATTCTGTATGCATTCTGAGGGTGGCAGAAGCCTGTGGGAATCAATTTCATACGTATATCGATTGTGTACTTTTGAGCTCTCAGTATGTTTTTGTATGGACTAGGTACTGAACCGATATGCACCAATATCAACAGGTGTCTACTGGAGCGCACTTCATTAACGATCTTGGTCTAGATAGCCTCGACGTTGTGGAAGTTGTCATTGCTTTCGAGGAGGAGTTCGCGATGAAGATTCCCGATGCTGAGGCCGAGAAGATCTTTACAGCTGATGACGCTATCAACTATGTTTTGGCACACGAGTCATAAATTGTATTCCAATTCCAATAGTTGTTCTCAATAGTCGAGCCACTATATTTGTAAAATGAAAGATATATGGGCTTTCTGAATTCAATTTCTTGCGCTTATCCGTGCAAACGTACAACTTATTTGCCATACGTATCAGTGTCAAGTTTCTCTTAAACAACAGGTACTATTTTATTAATGAACAATTACACATCCATACGTAAACACACACACAACACACAATACACACACACACGCAACACACACATTCACACACACACAAACACAAACACACACTCACACACACA